TACTTTTACTTTAGTTTTGACGCAAAAACGCATGATCGCACCGGCTCGCCTGGTGCGTTCCAGCCTGGGTTTTGTTAGTTTTCAAGCATTTTTGATTCCATCTTTTGCCAACAATTAGTCGAAAAATGGAATCAAAATCAAACAAACAAATTTGTGAAGAATTCGTTAGACAAATGGACTTCCTATGAACTATCCGTGTGTATATGCTGTTTATCTTTGATTAGTTGCAGTTGATATTACCGCTTTTCCTACTGCTTTGATCAATTCTGCTTCACTTGGTTTCCGCCTGCTGACATCTACTGGCATCTCCTTATCTGCTCAACGGTTTTCCTAACAAAAATACTTAGCAAAACTTTAGCGTTTCGAGCAGCCCTCGATAAGTATATTTGCTGGGCACCACCAACTTCTTTAATATTTGCAGTTCTTTTATATTTAGAAATAGGATAAATCAAATTATCAGTCTGAATGTTTAGAGTCCAGAAAGCAAAACGAAAAGCAGGAGAATGAATTTTACTCGTGCAAAGAAACAGCTGAAAGCCTTTTTATCTCGGCGAAGCGAAAGTGTCTTCAGCGAAGATGAAGGCCGCGACTCGCTCGGAGCAAGGTTGCTTCTGCATAACTATATATATGAGTATAATGCTTTTTAACTGAATGATAGCTCCAGACCTCATGAGAGAGTGAAATCTGAGGTGCATGGCAAGTTTCTAGCCGTGCTGACAAACGGTGGGCGTCGCTTATCAGGGAATGACATCCACAACAAAGCAAACGGCCATTCGGCGAACTTTTCCTCAATAGTCAGTATTAATGGAGTCTTAGAACCGTTTTCTATTTTAGCATAAAAATTGGGTAATTGCTTTTGAGTTAGCTTGGATTTCTAACATGAATTTAGAAAAACGGACAGAAAAGCAAGCAGCTGTTTGGCCTGAATTTACAAAAAACGGACAAAAAAAACAAGCAGCTGTTGAAAGCCGAACTTGAAAAAAATGAATTTTAATGGCTTCAAAAAATTGCCGTTTCGTAAAAAGTTGCGCCTGCGGATCAGCTTCGGTCTCCCACTGCTGAAAAGTGATGATGAATTACAGCACAACTCTGATGGAAGGCATCAGTGCGTCTACTTCAAAGCCAGCAAAGCATAACATGAAGATAAGTCGGTTGCATCGTAACGAATCCTGCGCACTATGTAACAAGAATCTTACCGGGATATTGATACAGGGTTACAAATGCATGAGTAAGTGGTTTCCAAATTGAAGAAGAACAAAATTTGAGAAGAAAAGAAAATGGCAATGAAAAAATGAGGCATGATTTTTACGAATCAAACCAATGACTCATATTCATTTTTTTACATCTCATAGCCGTTCGGCTTCAGGAATTTAGTGAAAATTGTATGTTTCAGGATGCAAACTATCATTCCACAAAGAGTGCTCTTCGTTCGCATGTAATATTCCGTGTCAAGCAACACCTGCCCAGTCACCACGTCCTGAGATCGTGGTAGCACCCAAAAAAGTATGGGAAATCAAGTAATAAATTTATCGTTGAATACTTCATTTTTTTTTTTTTTTGCTTTCGGAAGAGATTTTTTCTTTGTAGCAAACTAAAATAAAGCAATCAGCTGAGTTATACCTGGGCATTAGGAAGAACATAAGGAAAAGGGAGGCGAGGGCGAGCGAGGAGAGGACGAGGAAAGTGGAAAGATAGCTTCTCCCAGCTATGATGAAAGTAATAAAAACAAAACCAAAAAATGGAATTTCCCGTCAATTTTTATTGTCATAGTCTTTTCGGATTGTTTCACTCATCAAGTACACCGAAGAGCATTTTCGACAAAAGAAACAAACTTTCGGCTTATATCGGTAATTGTGTCTTGCAGTGATTTTCTACAGGAACCAGTAATCTACCTCGATTTCACGCAA